AAACTTTACGCCCGCCCGATACAAAAGTTTGCTAATTTTTGCCGCTGTCCTGTATTTAAAATTTTCTGACAGTAAAAGTATTGATATAATATCTCACCGTGGGTACGAATTTAAATAGACTACCTAAAAAAGTTTGCCAATCATCCGTCACATTTTTCATCGCACCTCTAGGCGTCCTAAGAATGAAATAACTATCTCTTGCACCACATTAAGAAGTTCTTCAAAGGCAAGTTCCGTCCATGAGCGACGAAGTCACCTCCCCATAGCTGATGGGTATTCCATCTGCTTCCTCATCCTCCCAGGCGGGGGAGCGGTTGTGAAATCCTCTTGGATACCCTACAACCGGCTGCAAGGTTATGTCAGCTCTTACTGACTAAAACACACCCGTAGTTCATGCTTATGGTCGGAAGGGACTTACAAGCTTTATCTGGAGCGATCATCAGCGAGAGGGGGATGATGCAGCGCTGCGTTAGTTTTAACTAATCCATAATATAAAATAACGCATAATGCGCTAGAGTACGTTTGCACTCGAAGCGGGAGGGGACTGAGCGGCATTGGGCCTCTCGGTGTTGGGGGGGAGGTGGGGCTCTGTTGCTAAAGTTGGTTCCTCGGCGCCCAAAAAGGCCGCGAGGTCGCGTGTTAATTTGTTAGGTATGATTGAGTGCGTGTTTGGGTCTGCGAGGCCTGTAACGGGACAAAGGGTGGGGGGCGTATGCCGACGCCGACCTAATTGGGTGCGAGTGCTCTTCTGCGGTTTTTAAAACCGTTCCGAGCACACTGTAGGGTGAGTTTGTATTGTGTCGAGTTGTAGGTCCCTGTAGAGGTCGCGTTGCGGACGAACCGCGGGGCCCTTGTGGCTGTGCGGCAGAAGCGATTTTGAAGCACTAAGGCCCGTATTACAGAATGACAACTAAGTGTTGATCTTTACTTGAATACAGTTAGAAAGGGATGTCGCTATGTGCTATATATAGGTAGCGACATCCATTTCTATCCATGCTCATTACTAGATTCATTACTGAGAATCTTTCTATAATACAGGCCTTTAGTGTTTATTCAAATGCTTCGTCCGCGTGCTGGTCTGATTTGAAAAAATACTTTTGTGATGGATAGTGCATTTCTCGACGAAGGCTTACGGCTATATAACATCACGCTGCGGCCAGTAGGAGCGGATTATCGCGGTAAAATTTTGCAATAACGGGTAAAATATTCCATTTGTGAGCATCCGTTGCGTGCGCTGCGTAAATGAATAAAGTTAGTTAAGTTACAGTTAAAGTTGAATTGTTCCCCTCTAAAGGTCCCAAAAAAAGCCCGCGACATCATATGCCCATCTTTTAGTTTGACTCACCATAACCCTTTTCCTCAAATTAACGCGGGTGAAACCGCAGATCTTTAGTTGTGATGTAACTGTAATAGTCAGACATATGGTATCGCGGGCTTTTTTGTAGATATTGATGTCTTCTATTAAATTTAAGTAAGTACGATAAAATTAGTTTGCTAGTGTCAATGACTTCTGCAGCGTAAGCGATAAAAGCTTATTTTTCGGAATTTTATTTCACACCCTGGGTTACGTTATCGAAGTTTTCATAGGGAACCCTAACTTTTTTGAAAATACTCTATATAGCCTTTGTTCATCAGGGATAATGTTGGATTTTAAACGTGAAAGAAATTTTCAAAACAGTCCATAAGTTTTGGAGCCTTTTATTCTATACCAATAAACAAAACAATAAATCTTTCCTCTTTAGACAATCCCTGCGCGTCGTGCTGCTTGCATTGCACAGTCGGGTAAAAATGAGACACTTCCTTACTTTCTGGAATGGACGAATAACCAATATAGTCTATTTCCGGTTTGGACGGCCACACCCACTGGACACACCTTAACAAGATAACACAGAATATGGATTTATTGATACTGTCAATTTCAAATTCACAACCAATTTTGAGCTCTGAGTTGAGACCTGGCACAGGGTGAGGATGGCTGGTGTGGCAGGTAGAACTGTACCAGCTATCATCGCGTCTGGACTTCATCGTCACTTAACATCAGGAGAGGGTGGAGTCATTCGGACCTATTTATAAAAAGACCCTTAATGTATTGCTGACGTTATTATTCTAAGATTGCTGGCCTATGCCTAGCAGTGGACGTAGGGTTTCCAGATGCTGGCTTATCAATCCCGAGAATCCACTCCCCATCCCACACCCCACTCCAGTAATAAAACAAATCACAACATAGGTGAGTAAACGCAGATATATTTATAGTAATATTGTGAAAAAAACTTGTATTCGGGGATTCCGGGGCAATAAGGTCTAATTACTGGATACGGGACAAGATGCAAAATTCCGCGACATCCCGGCCATCGGGTAAGCCTAAGTGGGCGTTGTACGGCTGAGATGATGATGTATTGCTGACTGTACACTGTCCCGCATAGCACCTACATCGAATTTTGGTACCGGTTTTGAAGACTTTATCAATGAATAAAGTCCGTTATCGCAGCCACTCAACCGTTATTCGCACTCCGGCACGGCACGGGTCACACAATCGCCCAGTCACGTGACAAATATTAGTCCTCGCGGCGGAATTCATTCGTCAACATCAGAGGTGTTTACAAACAATGGGTGTTGTTGGTGGAATAAGCCGACAATGTGACGGTCACTTTGAGATCGACACCGCACGAGACACGAACACTGACACGCAGGTACCTACAAAAACCTCTTTGCTTTATATTAAATCTCCAGTTTCATAAATTACAAAAACCAATTTAAATAATAATCTTCTAAATTGTTTAGGGGTTAAATTTATCTGGCTAAGGTTAAAACTTTAACCCCCTATTAGGGCGTTGAAGTACATAAGGAATCATCTCTAATTTTCTATATTACAGTAGAATTATTACTACTCCTGGTAAGGTGCATGACCTCGAACTAGTGACGTGTCTTAAAATGATCGATATTTTTACTAATCATTAAAAATAACTGTTTTTATAAAAAGTTCAAACTTCTTGCAAATATTTTAAGAAAATTAGAGAAGACTCCTTATATGATGTACTTCAACGCCCTTCAAGCTTTATTTGTATTTTTGTAACACTCTGTATAAACGAAGAATTACCTTGTATTAGTTAGCTCCATATTTTGTCTCTGTTAATTTCATTAAATTACAAATGAATACCTGTATGAAATGAAATGAAATTATACTTTATTCAAATTAACTTGTTAACACCTCTTTTGAATCGTCCAATATTTCTTCCTACCTTTCAAGACATCTTTTAGCTGATACTTACACAGCCCTAAAACTTAAGTGTAAGGCGTAACCAGAATTTATTTCTTTAAAATAAAAATAAAAATAAAGGCACTATCAACCTTCTTATTAATTGTGTGTTTATGTATATAATTGAAACAATCATAGAAGTATGATAATAATAACAATCAAACCACTTTGCCGCTGAATAATTATTATCGTCGTTATCATTTGTTGCAGTTGCAGGAAACCCGTGCAAGGTAACCGCAGACCACAATGGCGAAATGCATATCCACACTACTGACCGTAGCAGCGATAATGACGTCACTGTTGGTCCCCTGCCACCCCATGGTGATGCGAAACAACGTGCTCATGAACAAGATGGTGTCACACTTCCAGAAGGAGCAGCACAGCAGCAATCGGCACAAAGAAGGAGACACAAATGACGCAGCGAACGAACAGAAACCAGAGAGGGTGTTATCGCTGATGCAAAACGTGTTATGCAGAAACTTCCCGTCGATCCCATGCAAAATGATCATGGAGGACGATACTTTAAGAAAGCTGATAGAGAAATCCATAAATCAGATCAAGTACAAGTCCGTAACAACCGACAGGACCACCTCGGCCCCCGGCTACCTCACTCTATTCCCGATGGTCAACAGCGAAGACTTGTCAAACTTCCTTCAAGTCCAAGATCGCCCATACTTTGATAAGCCAAAGGAGGACGAAGAAAAGAAGAAGAGCGGTATAAACCACTGGTCGCAGAAGAAACAATCGAAGAAAAGCAAGAAGAATAAGAAGGATGCGAAGAGGGCTCCCGTGTACAACGGCAGGAAGAAAATGCGCAAATTCTATCCGCACAAGATAAAATACAAGGACAAGGTGTCGAAGAACGAAAGGAAAGACTTCAGGGACTACTCGGAGGAGAAGCTCTCGATGTCGGTGGAGGTTCCCGATATGACTTTGACAAAGCACCACCAACATCTGAGCTACAAGGTGGAGCCGGCGGACCCGCCCGTGTGGAGGATCGACTACATGAAACATGGCGAGCCCAGTCTCAACATGTTGGGCTACGAGGACGAACGACTGAAGGGGAAGATCATGAAGACTGGCCCCAACGTGATGGTGGACGAGAACATTCTAGAAAAAGGCGCCAGGAAGGACGTCCTACACCCGGATGTTTACATCAAAAAGAATTTCGTGAGACAAACTAGTGCGGACTTCAATAACTCCGAGAACATTGACAGATAGCGCTTTAGGTGTAGGTTAACTACATTGAAATATAATAAAAAATATTATTTTCATTTAATTTCTGTTGTTATGTTGTCCTAAAACTTAGGGAGGTACCTAGTTCCACGCGTTGGGGGATTTTCAGGCCGACACGGGAGCATGGCTGGAGTGGCACACTTTTAGGAATACCTACCCCGCAACAGCTATCTAAGCAAATGGACCACACTACTGTGAGCATGTGGTGTGTGTATGTGTGATGTACTTTGTGTGCATGTGTTGTATGAATGAAATTGTGTTGTATAAATATCTGAGTAGGGTAAATATTGCTGATAACTTGAATAAACAAAAAAAATACTTTAAAAATAGAACTAAATAAAATGTACCAAACTATCTGACTACACGCCCATCTCTATTGTTTTAACTAAACAATGTTGTATTTTATGGAAATCCTACTGCCTGAGGAATGCAAACTGTTTTATCTATCAGCAACGAAATACCGACGGACGACGCGACGATATCATGTTTTAAAACTATGATTTTTATAGAAGTTAAATAAAAGGAATGGTACCTAATTTTGTTGTTTTCTAATTGACATGGGTTGTTCTGTAAGTACTACTTACCATTAAATTCGGTGAAAGACCATGGCATGAGTAAATAAACTCATAAGCTTTAAGTATAAACGAAAGCAATATTTTGCAATAAATCTGTAATGTATGGGTTTCAATTATTACTTGAGATAGATGCAGATCCAGGGTGGATGACGCAAGTATTTTTGTGTGATGTGTGTTAATATTTTTGCCATCCGTAAGCTCTGCTATTCATGTGATTTTTTATCGAATTTGGTCCTTAGTTATCTGAGGATTGATCGGTGTAGACCAGTTCCTGTAGCATGGGCATCACAATTTAAATAATATCACGTTTTTTCTCGCGTCTAACTATCAAACTCCATAGTAATTTGACAACCGAATGTGATAAAAACGAGCTATATATCATATTGCACTGCTTATGCTAGGGGGGCAGAGAGCAACATGTTAAGCGTCAACTACCAAATGGGTAAATGATAAAATTAAGTTATTATAGCCAACGAGACATTTATCGCATGACCCCACAGTCTGACGTAAAATATTTGTAAAACAACAGCAATCAGCCGTACGCCGGCAAACAGGACGGACGTGCACAGTAAAATTAAACTTTTTAATATAATCTAATAATTATTATTAACTGGAGAAAATGTCAAATACGGTTTTGTCTTCTCATGTTCTCGACACTGCTTCTGGGAAACCAGCAGTTGGACTGTTCGTGGAGTTGTACAAGAGGAAAGACAACAATTGGCTTCTGTGGCACAATACCATGACGAATAGTGACGGCAGGATTAGATTTCCCTTCACAGAAGACTCAATGGGGGCCGGCATTTACAAGCTGCACTTCAATGTGGGCGATTATTTCCAGGGTATGGACAAGGAGACTTTTTACCCGTATGTTGAGGTAAGCTTGCGTTTTTGGTAATATTTGAAAAATAAAAGGTGAGATACAATAGGGTTTCGGTAACATGAACACTTGCTAAAAATAAATTTACGAGTCGTTTTAGACTTGGATTAGTGATCACACGCTGTAAAGTATTTTTTATTTTAGAAATTTAGTAAGTACCTAGTTATTAATACAAAATTGATATTTATTAATAAATAAAGGTGCAAATTTAACTCGATTTAATAAGATTGATTTGTTAACTAAGTCTCAGTTTCAGTTTAAGCCATGTTAGTGTTTTCTTATTCTTACTAGTTCGGCGCCGAATCAAAAAAAGTAACAAAATGAGTATTTTTTTTATTTAAATTAACAAATTACTAGCAAATGCATTGCTCGACTTAAAATATCTTCCTTTGTGCACCTCTACAACTAGATGGCGCCAATCAGAGGCATGGTTAAGCTTTTAGACAATAGATGGCGCTGCTAATTATTTTCTTTACCATAACGTACATTCAAAACTACTTACATAAGGATGGTTGAGAGTGGTAGTCCATTTGCAGCCGCGACAAATATACCATTCGGTCCAGAGTTCACTTTCACGTACATATTGAGAACCTAGACTAACGACAAACTAATTCGGCGAAAGTGGTAGGCAATGGGCGGCTTTCTACTTTGCTAAATGTGGAAGTCGTGAAGTTGCGACTAATGGTAGTGATCGCGTGATATTATTTTATATCCTTTTAGCTGTACCCCGCGGTTTATTAGGGATATTTTTCCCGCATTAAAACGTAGTGTGTGTTAATGCAGGGTGTCAGCCAAGTCCATACCAAATATTATTAAAATCGCTCCAGCCGTTTAGGCGTAAAGAAGTAACAAACATACAATGTCACAAACTTTCGCCTTAATAATATTAGTGTGATTCATAATTAAAAAGTTACTTCGCCGGGTAAAACTTGTATATTTATACCAATTTATATTATTTCCAGATAGTGTTCAAGATAAAACAAGGCGAGCATTACCACGTGCCCCTGCTGCTTAGCCCGTTCGGATATTCCACCTACAGAGGAAGCTGAAAAACCGTATTACCTACCGTATTATTTACAAACTATATTCTATCTTTGATTCTCATACCTTACCAAAGTTACTCATATTAAAATATTTTTTCTACTATCTAATTTTATTTTATTTTCAAGCGGACCGACATAAGAGTCCTTTCACATTTTTTGCAAAAAATCGTAATTTTTGAGCGCCTTAGAAAAGAATTTTGACTATTTCCAATAGAAATAAACAGTACATTTATTCTTCCTTTTGTAAATTAAATCTAGCATATTTGCAAATACTATTTTCCATTTTTTTGTACTGATCGTTCTACCGCAGCCAGCTAGTTTAAGGAAAAAACGATAATATGCACAACTTCAAACGCCTGAATATAGAACAGATATTTTTTTGTAAGAACCATCTACAAAGTATTAGAAAACTTGAATTTTTTTTTGAAATCGTTAAAATAAATTTTATTTATTTATTTATTTAAATAAATACGTCCGCAACCCTTTTAGTGACAAGACAAGAACGAAGTAAACCTCGAAATGAGTGGTAATAAAACAAGAAATGATCTAGTATTAATTATATATATATTACACATAACAATTAATGTGTATTCCTTCATAATGTTAATCTATATTTACATTACAATGAAGATAATGTTATAAAAATGTGGGTAAATTAATTTCATAATTTACAATGAGGTCAGGTTAGCGCACAAACGTGGAAACCCATGCTTACTATTTCGAATCTACCAAAAAATTGTTTAACATTATTTATTGCAATATTCTTATAAATAAATAGACCTAATGCTTCATTAAAATAGTATGTACTCTATTTACATGTAGGTAATAATAAAAAAAACTCATTTTAAAAGTAAAAATTACATAAAGCTATGTAGATACCTAGCTACTAACAACCCTAAATTATTAAATGCAAAAATACAAGATTGTTCTTTTGTAATGTTAACGTTAAAACAAAATATTACCTACAAAGTTGCCTAAATGCTTAGAATAATAACGCCTAAATGCTTAGTTTATATGTAGTTTCATGGTTTGTTTAAACAATCATTTTTAGTTAAATTATCTTATTGTTGGAATGAATTACATATTTGTCTTTAAAATTCTGAATAAGAAACCAATTATTTAAATAAGATTTTCACAATTGAATGAATAAATAAAGCTTTTTCAGAAATAATTTAATAACTGTTTCATTCATAGAACATTTTGTTCTTTGTTATCTTTTTAACAATTTTCATTTAGTTATTTAATTTAAAATAAAATAAGTTTACTTTTATGAATTTATAGCTCTGAAAATTTTAATGTAAATATAATAATCTGTTCTAATAAGTAATCTATGAGTATATTTTATACATTGGGGGTATTGTAACAAGTTTGGCACGAAGGTCCGATGGCTGGCGTAGACTCTGTAATGTAAATAGTCACATTCATCAATATAAAGCCATGTCATCAAGAGTTCACCGTTCTTCAAAGTCACAACACAAGTTATCACAGTTCAATCACAGTTTGTGTCCAAGTCTCTAATTCCATTTTATCCAATGTGGCTTCTGTCCAATGTGACCTAGAACCCTAGGCATCAGGGAGTTGTGGAAATTTGGACAAAAATAGAAAAAAATGCTCAACAAGAAGACTGTAAAATTATAGTTGACAAGTAAAATTTTGAATGTGTATGGCAACTTAAATCCATATCATCACTAAGGAAATGCAACTCCTTTTCAGGTGTAGAAACCGAAAAAGATGCAATAAAAATGTACCATGCAGCTGACAAATACAAAGATTTTCATTGCCATTTCACAATCCAGTAATTTCATTGTTTAAATAACATTTTCCTGTTAAAAAAACAAATGTTTCTTCCATCCTGTAAGGTCGTCTCATGGCTCTTTGTAAATACATTTACCTGTCATATTCCTGTGAAAAAACATGGTTAGGAACAATTGAATTTACTAAGTTTGCTAATAAATACTCACCACATGTCAAGACGCTATGCTTTGCCTGGCCTCATGGGGTTTTGGCGCCAATCTAGCGTAGTAAAATGAGAATCAAACCATTAGATACATCAAAGTCATTCATCAACCTGATCTTTTCTCTTTGAAGTATTAAAAATAGTTCCAATAAATCAATAGACAAGAGAAAACTAATAAATTACTGAATAATGTTGTATTAATCTTCCCATATAACTCAATTATTCCTTAAAACTTGGTTCTCTGATATTAATACCTTGTGATAGTGAAAAATAATTTACTAACCTGTAGAATCCAAGCGCCTGTAAAGAGATATTATTAGTTAGAACCAAAATAAAAAATAAAACCCACCTATTTTCCATCTTCTTGCCCGACTACTTCTTTGTATCTGGCTATCATTAGTTTTTTCACAGTGTCTCTGTATGTTTCCCCGGGGGTGGGTGTGTATATGCCCCTCTTTTGTCCAAGCCCAGCTAAAGTAGGCCTTTGTTCTGCTTCAATAGGAGCTATTCTCCCTTGCTCTTCTTTTCCTAAGCCTCGGCCTTCAGACCAGCCCATTTTCTGTAGCATTTTACCTCCTATGGTATCCACAACGGATGGCGGTGGATGTGATTGCACCGGTGCCCTCATTACTTCTGGCGGTTCATACCTCTTCCTAATCAGTGGCTCATCCTCACCAAACTTCATTCTACGTTCAGCTGCCCTATCCCTATACCCATTGGTCTGGGGCAAAAGTTCCATTTTCTTTCGGTACTCTGCTAAATTCTGCTTGTGCAAATCTGACATTGATTTATGTTTAGTCAACACATCTACAGATGGGAATTTGCGTTTACAAAGGAGGCATGTTAATTTCGCCCAGTCTATAATGCCTTCATCGTTATCAATGGATGTGTTTGCATCTGAAACTTTTTTAACCAAGAACTCATCAGTGGAGACAGGTGGTGGGGAAATTTCTCTTACATGAGTGGTGATGGAAGGTCCAGCACCTAAAACAGAGAAACCTATGTCTGCGGAGCCCTTGCTGGCACCAGTGTCTAATGGCTGCTCCATCACAATGTTGCTGCGTGCATTCTCTTTCTTCTGGTTCAATGTACGAGCCCACCTCTCCATGTCTTTTGCTATCTTTTTGGCAACTTTCACTTTGTCCTCTTTATCTTTCTTTTTCTTTTCTTCTGGTTCTTTTCCTATTGTATTCTCATTTGTTGCCTGTGGAGGTTGCGGCAGTTTAGCTTGCTCTGTGTTTTGTTGACTCTGTGTGGCTGCTATGTAAGTCGAGGTTGTAGCATCCCAATACATATACTGATTAATTTGACTATTGTAGAAATACTGGGTGTTACCATCATAATATAAGCCAGTGGCAGGGTCATAGTAGTAACCTGAAGTTTCATCATACATGAAGGTTCGGACATCTGGTGCACTGTACTGGGTTTTACCATCCCCTGTGGGAATATTAATAGCAGGAGTAGGCTGAGCAGCAGAAGCAATGAAAGTAGGGACTGCTATGGGAGTCCACGCCATTTGACGGGCTTGAGCAGCAGATATAGCTGACTGAGCCACTGCAGCAGCAGCATTCACTCTGTCTGCCTCGGACAATGCCTGGGTAGAGGCAGAATAACTTGCCATTTGAGCATAGTATGCAGAATAATCAGCATTGGAAGGTTTTTGAATCTTTTTGGGTTCATTATAGAATGTAATTAACACTTCGCGACCATCTATTTCTAAGGGGGGTTGTAAGGACAACAGTTCAGTGTGAGCGGCAGTTGAATCTGCAATAGAATTAAAATTTATATAAGCTAAGCACTTGGAAGCCCCCGTCAAGGTCTCACGGCCTATAGTAATACCAGCTATAGAATCTAACACAGACTTTGAGCACCTATCTTTAATGGAGTCCAAAATTTTCTCTTCTGTAGTTAAAGCATCGAGCCTTCTAAACAATAAGCGTTTGGTTATACCAGCGGCTTCATTGAAAGCTGCTCGGTCTGTGTCACCACCATAAACTATGCCCTCTGATCTTTTGCCTTGGCAATTTCTTCTGTAGCAAACCTGACGCCTTTTGAAGTTGTAGAGGCCACATTTGCAGAACCAATCCCCCGGGGAAGCGATTATGCCGCTCTGATCTTCCTGTTTGTCCTTGTCGTACTTGTCATAGTCGTCGCGTTCCCTGCTCCGCGAGCGGCTGCGCGAGCGAGAATCAGAGTGTTTGTCTGCTTCAGAGCTGATTTTAGGGGGCGAAGGAGGCGCAGGGATGTCTTTGTCGTCGTAACGTCGCGGCGACCGGCGGCGGTCACGTTCACGGTCGCGGTCCCGCTCGCGATCGCGGTCGCGAGGTCTGTCGTAGCGGTCGCGGCCCCGGTCGTTGCGATGGCGGTCTGAGTCGCGGTCGTGGCGGTCGCGACGGTCGTCGTGGTGCCGGTCGCGCTCGTGTCGGTCGCGGTGCCGGTCGCGGTCGCGTCGGTCGGGGCTGACGCTCCAGCGCGGCGAGCGCGGCTCCCACACGGGCGAGCGCGGCCTGCTCTCGCTCCACCGGGTATCGTGCTCGCTCCAACGCGAGCCTCGATCTTCGCGGCCTCGCCAAGACATCGCTGCCTGTGAACATCGACATAATCAACCACTACTCACGGGCGACGCCTTCGTTCGATCGACCAGTCCGGAACCATTGGTGCCCTAAAACGTCGTACAATGACCTCTCTCGCCTCCAGAATTTGTTTACCTGCTAACGTTCACTGGCACGAATCCTATAATATGCTTAAAACAACGTATATTTAACACTTTTACGACGCTTCGGCAGTTTATAAAGTATAAATTTGAGGAATTACGTTGTAAAAATTTCACACAGTGGAAAAAAGGAAGCCATATTTTTTCAGAAATATTTTTTTTTACTATTGATAAAGACAAGGCATACCAAAATTCATACAGCCAAACTTGTTTCACATTTGAATGCAAGAGTAAATAATATAAATAAAAATATACTAGGTATAATGCACAGACATATAACTAGTAGCAGACGGAATATTCAGTTTTAAACAGCGTGGCAAATACACACACATTGAAACTCTACCAAAGCATGGGCCGCATTTAGTATAGTAGAATAATGGATTTCATTATTGTTTCATGAAATACCTATCCGAATAGATAGGTCCTAATGTTATGTCCATGCTAATAATATTATAAATGTAAAAATCTGTCTGTTTAATATCTTCATGGCGAATTTAGCCAGGCGAAATCGCTGAACCGATGATGATGAAATTGAGCACGGAGATAGAATTAACCCAGGGAAAGGACATAGGTACAATTAGGAAAATTGAAATAAAAAATTAAGGCATAGCTTTTATCTATTTATTTTGAAATAATATAAGTTTTTTTAGAAATTTTCTCTGAGATACATTTCTTTCTTTACATTGATGTTTACATCTAAGATCAAAATAAAATTTGACAACAACTTTAATAAGCAAGTGGACATGATTTATATCATGATCTGGATTGTTCGAGTCAAATATTGAATAATCGACATAATAACATATGAATTTAATCAAACTATTAAAATCATTACTTTTGTTTATTTTAAAAAAAACACTTAAAACACTATAAGTATTTGGTTGCCAATCCTGACGTTTCATAGATTTTAAGCATGCATTCCGAGTACTTTCATCCTTTGGAAACCTAGAACAAAATTGTTTATGTGGTTATTTGGGTTATATACCTACCGATGCCAATGTTCCAAGAAATATGAATAGCTAGGTGCCTATCTATTTACGTTCTTGATTGCATTCACATTCAAAATACAATGCAATGCAAACAAAATTAATGCCGAGAAACTTTTTGTCTTTGATACCGAGTCCGTCCTTTGTTATGGCAACAGTACTTCAGTTGTCAGAATTGGAATTTCCTATCATGATTTATCCTGATTACTTCTATTTCTTTACTTTTAAGATATTACTTGTCACCGGTAGTATCTTAGATAAATAATCCTACGTAAAAAATGTTACATGTTACGATCATATTTAAATAAGCTTCGAAAAGACTCAAAGACATTTCAGTACACAACAAAGACACATAAAAACTTACTGATGAAACGTTAATCCTGGTGTTCTATTGTAGGTAGCACTTTCACATCGATACGCACTGTACTTGACCATAGTAATTGAATAATCTCGTTTTGTAATATAGTTTCATTAAAGCAATATTCATAATAAACACCGAAATGTCGCATGTCCGATAAGTAATGAATAAAATGGCGGCGAGGAATAAAAATGACACGCGTTGACATTTGTTGATGTGTGAGTCAGTATTGCAATAGACGGAAGAATGAGATGCCACTATCGAGTTGTAGCTGAGTACAAAAAGGATAAAAGATCACGTTTTGATTCATAAATCTATCTAGGTTTTATGTTCCGTCTGCTATAGTATTATATGTCTGTGGTATAATGGAATAAGCGAAAGGTATTGTTGCCGTATTTTTTTATTCACTACTACCTGGCAATCAAGTATGAAGAGGTATAACTTGATAAAGGTGATTGTAACAATCTGCTTCTTATTAATCAAAATATACATTAAAATGAAAATTATTTTATTACAAACATGTTATTCCACCGAATAGTAGTTTTTGAGATACTATTGCCTGTTCTTGAATTGTTGTTATCCTGCCAAAATAAGAATTAGCAGTTAAAAAGTAAAATTCAATGACCCCAAGATCCTATTTATTTTCCCATGGACAAAATATGGATAATCGTGTAGTATTAGTGTGTACAGTTTGTCTATAAAGTCGTGACATGAATGTTTGAGGAACTAACATTATTCATATGTCTGGCAACACCAAACTTATGTTTATCAGCTGTCATCGAGTTTCAGTTGTGGAACAGTTTTCCTTTTATATTTTTTATTGTTTGGATTAAACTGTAATAAATTAAGAAGAAACTACGCAGAAAGGTATAAAAATGAGTAAAGTAAATCGGAGTGGCACGCGGGAAGTGATTTTTAAAGTTTTCCAGCGATGTTTCGAAGACTACCAAGCTGGACGAATTTTGTGGGATTTGGATGATGTTTATGGGCGAACGGCATCTATGACGGGGATGTAATCGTGTAACTATTTGTTTGTAATCTGCCTGAAGTTACAAATTTGCTCAATTTACGAATTTGAGACCAAAAAAGGCACTGTTTACATTGCACATTTTTAGGTTAGATTGACATTGTAAATAGGTAATATTGTAGTACGACCATTTCTTTTGATACGTTATTATGGTTCAACTCGATCAGGTTTTCTACCAATTTTGAATTAATTGCTTCATGTCAATAAGTAATTGTTTCTTTTCCGTTACATATTTTTTTACTTTTTTTTAGGAAAATCCGAGAGTCGGATAGTCAACGAAGGTTTTAACAATGATGGAAAGTTTGAAACTCCTGGGAAAACAGGCAAGGCCGACCAAAGAAAGAAATGGTGACATAAAGAACCATGGCCAGATGCTTTTAGTGAAGATACCTATCACTAATTTTACTAACTGCACATTTACAAATTGTTTCTCTAAATAAACTTTTTATATACTATAAAATGATTTTTAGTATTATTTTCTTAACAAGTGTGTTAAAAAACGTCGTGATGATACTTGTGTGTATTGATGATTACCTAACGGCTCTGGTCTCAATGGCACCTCAGCGGTAATCACCAACATTACACACTTTTACACTTTAAAGTACTATTATAACTATAATTTTATTCTGATTCAATTAAATATGCTTGGCTAAACTTTTTATAAACATAGGTACCTACTATATTTAAAACAGAAACAAAATACGACTGTATAGTGTGTCTTATTAATTACCTATTTTACTTGAATGAACTGCTAGTATCAAAATCATTTTGGTCCGACTAAAGGGTTGCTACATGCATACTAGTGGCGCCATCATTTAATGTCACGACTTTATAGACAAACTGTATGAACGTCTACATACTCACTAACTTGTGTTGTGGCCAATTTTCTGGTACCTATCAGGTGTCACAATCACAACACAAGCACGTAAAAATTTTACTCACTTTACTAACAGTCTGCGGACTGATTCTTACGTATGTTGTAGAGAATTTTGTCAGCAATTAATACTGCCAAACACATTCTGTGAGCAATTTTAACAGTTCTGTTATAATAAGAAATTATTAAATATGGTAAAAGTTTCTATTACATTATTTTATAAAATAACTATAATGAAAGTGTATCAAAAAGGCACATAATTACCCTTTCGTCTGGTAAACAAATGATCAAAGGAAGACCTCTCTTCAGATCTAAAACCAGAAACATATTAACGTGTCGTGGAGTGTCGTGACGCATCGGTTTCATACATTTTTATGGGTTAGAGAGAGAGAGAGAGAGGTTAGAGCCTCGATACGACACGCACGACACGTAAATATATCTCTAACCATAGTAAATGTATGAAACCGATGTGCTTCTGGCGCGCCACGACTCCACACGACACGTTGTTATTTTTCTGGCTTTAGACTAATTCTTATGTCGAAACTTCACTTGGCTATACGAGTTGTTATTTTTAAACTTGACAACAGTTTGTTCTTCTCATGGTTTATAATGAATGAAAAGGACATGCTAATATCAAGTTTACAGGAAGGGTTGCTTGTAATGGTTTTAAACATGTTACCGTTGAGACCATAATTATTCGGGCAGAAATCAAAGTGGGCAATGGTGTTGATTCTGGCATGATACTCTAAACTCATATCTAAAGCAGATAGTTCAAAAGTGATACCTAGTCGATTCGGCGACGACGAAACATGTACTTATCATTTGAAAGCTTATTTTACATTTTAACACTAACAGATGCTATTTTTTTTTTACCCGATTAATTTTAAATCGTGTTTAATAATTGAACAACTTTGTAATGATGCTGACCACCCTGTCGTATGTCATATTTTTAGTGTGTGACTTTGGCAAAAAAAAAAAAAGATAAATAAACTTACCTGTGCCAATCAATAATCATTTATTTTTATATTATAACTAGCTGTTACCCGCGGCTACGCTCGCGTGGTTTTCCTATTTGAGGCTATCATCCTGTCTCTATAAAATCTCTGCGCGCCTGTGCTTGTTCAGGTGTTTCGAATGACCTCAAAAAAGCTTGTCGTTCTGCTTGCTCATCAAGTCTTTGCTGAGTTTCAGCAGGTGTTTCTGCAGCTCTTAAAGCAGTTTGACGCCCCGCTTGTTCAAGTAGTCTTTGTTGAGACTGAACATCCGATTCAGCGGCTCTCAAATGAGCCTGCCGCTCTGTCTGCTCCTGAAGTCTTCTCTGTGTCTGCGACAGTGATTCTAAGGCCCTCAAATTCGCTTGACGTTCAGACTGTTCAAGACGCTTTTCCTGTGTCTGCGATTGAGATTCTGAGGCACTCAAAGCAGTTTGGCGATCTGCCTGTTCTTGCCTTCTCAGTTCAATTTCTTCAAGAGATTCTTGCGACCTAGTTAAACTCTTTGCTCGTGCTTGAGAGGATACTCTATAAAGGCTATATTTGCGTTTGCGCGTCATTATTACGGTGAAGGTATCTGAAATTTTTTTTTTATTAAAAAAAATCACCTATTTTAGTTACAACAGTATAAAAATGTTTTGTAAGCACCTACTCAACCTGTTTATAGTAGGTAGGTATTTAAAATCCAAAAAAATGCAAATAATTATCCATTCACCTATTTTCACAAAAACCCAAGATCAATGTGTTAAGTTAATCGTCAAAGCGATTGCTTTTTAATATTCCTTTTTGGTTTTTTTTTTTAATTTAATTATTTTTATTTAATTATTATCATTTTAGCTAGGGTTAGGGCTAGGGCTATTATTGTTAATTTAAGGTAGCGACATCTTTTCAGTTTCATTTTCAACATCCAGGATCAATCTTCACTTGAAAATTATTGGATAATACTCGATTAAGGGACTAAAATAAATCATAACAGCTGTTTATTTAGTATCTGTCTACTGTAAACAGCCGATTAT